ATTATTGATTCTTGTAGATTCGCTAAAAATTATACGATCTGTCTGAGCAGTAACTTTCTACGTAGTTAACTAAAACAGAAATGCAATCTCATATTCGATGAACATGATAAGTAGCTAAAAAATGGAACTAATCGATGCGATGTATACATGTCGTTCTTACACAAAATATGGTGTCCATCGATTCACCCTAACACATAAAAACAAAATGGCGTTCTGGTCTGGATTCCCTATCACTGGTAGGCTACCAGAGTGTTACCAGAGTTGCCACAGTAAAGGAATACCGGGAAATGTCAGAAAATTTAAATGTCAGGGAAAACCTGAAAATATTAGGGAAAATGATGAAATTGTCTGAGAAAAATTGTTAGGTCGCCTTTATTTGGTTTCTAGAATGAGCTTTAAGTTTCGAACAACAAATTTCGTCGGAAAACTATTTTGAATAATGTCTTTCTATCCGTACAGTATAACCTCAATTGTAAGGGAATTTTAGCAAAATGAGTCAGGGAAATTCATTTCCTAAATTCTGTGGCAACCGTGCGTTACGTATTTTATGAACGGTCCCAAAAGTCACAAAGCTTTCTTAGCGATTTTGTCGGTTAGTTTTTGACTTTTCGGAGAGTTCCTCTTGAAGTGATCAGACAGAAGGAAAACTCAAAATCGCAAGAAAAGTTCCCTTGGAACATGGAGTTTGCAGACCCTGACAAAATGTTTCCCGATTTGGTGGCCGCGCAACTAACCCGCCGACGCCACGTGTGGAATAGGAAGTTAAGCCGTCTGGTAGCTCGTCGGCACGTCTGCCGCGTCGAATACAAACCGATTAACTCGCGTGGGAAACCCCTTAGTGTTACGCGGTTTTAGCTCTCGTCTGCTTCCCGGAACGAAGCCTCGAAGTTTAATCTTCGAAAATCCGCGCCAAGAACAAGTTCGCCTCGTCCCCAATTTTTCCTTCAACTTTTCGCCGAAGCATTGTTCAAGCCCGTCGCTATCGCGTCGAGTCGACTAACCACCCCCCTCCCCCTCCCCCACCCCCACTCGGTCCAGAACTGTGCATTTAAACAAGTGGAACTACATCCGCCACCCCCGAACCCACGCTCTTGCCGACCGATACAGGGTGCTCCAAAGTGGGTCGCATTAGCTTCGAAGCCAGCTCCTGTAGAGCTGCACAGAGAATAAAAGTCGTTGGTTTCCAAATTCTAAGGGTCGTAGAAGGTTGCTCCAGTCAGGAAAAACCGGGAAATGTCAGGGAACTTTAAAAAGTCGGGGAAAAGCTGGCAATGTCAGGGAAAATAACGACAATGTCAGGGAAAAATTATTGGGTCGCCTTTATTTGTTGTCTAGAATGGGTCCGACATTTTGAAAAACACATTTTGCCTGAAAAGTATTTCTAATAGTGTCTTTTTAACCATATGGGGTTTCTTCAATTGTCAGGGAATTTCATCTCCTAAATTCTGTGGCAACTTTGGTCATATTCATGCACTGATAAAAATATTTGTGTTTGCGGTGAATTCAGCGCAGAAAACAATACAGAGACTGGTAAAGCCCAAAGTCAACCGAAGGCTTGGTTTATTTCGTGTTTTACTTTCCGTGATATCCAAACTTTTGTGCAAAGTTTTTTCTCTGCGTGGCAGTTCCACATGCTGGATCTTCAGTTTTTGCGCAATGAATTTTAGGTGCGATCGATATCAACGTTTAGGTGGAATATTTCGGGATACTAGAAATTTCAGTCTGTAGATAAGTCACCGAAGAATGTTCAATGAACAGTTACTGGAGAAGATATGACAAAATGATCTAATCTGCTAAAATAAAAGTGCGTAAAAAATACTGTGAAATCAGCTTTTTAAGCACTTTCAGATGAAGCAATAAAATATTTGCATGCAAATTCTCCATTTTCCCGTTCATGACCACACTTGTTGGATACCCTGTACAGTACACACCCCCCTTAACCCCCCCCCCCCCCCCCCGCGGAGGTCTCTACACCCCCGCGCTCAAACTCCCCCCCACCCGGTCAGGATATGCGGTTGTCGCAAGGATGGTGACGGGAGGGGAAGGGGAGGAAGTTGACGTGTTGTCGTGAATATTCATTGCCAGGAATCGAAGAGGGTATGATCCCGTGTTTAAACTCCGGATTGAGGGTCTCTCGGGTCACCGGCACCGGCTGAAGCGGGGGGTGGGGGAGGGGGGGGGGCTCGAGGCTCGAGCCAATCATGATTAAATCAAACTCATAAGCGGCGCCCGCTTCGATTTATTCATGAGCGCTTTTTGCTCGACTTCAACTTCGGAGTGGGCCAATCCGAGGCTCGGAAAGTTCCGCCGCCGGATTCGCCGCCCTCGCCAAGGCAAGCGCGCTTCCCCTTGGAAATGGAGTTCCTGAAAAGGTGGGGCTTTTGGATTTCCACAATATTTCAGTCGAACTTCGTTCTTTTTGAGACGAAAAAACGTCACCACAGGGTGTCTACGAGTCCGGAATTTTCCGAAAGTCTGGAAATAGTACTGATTTTTCAAGAGCGTATATTTCAAGAAGTACTGAAAAAGTGCTGCAATTTCACAAAACGCCGGTTTGGAATTTTTCTCATTTTTTTGTCATTTTTGTCGCAATTTGAGCAGGAAATTCGAATTTGTGAAAATTTCCGAATTTCGTCAAATCGAGGTACTGAAAAAGTACTGAATTTTTCTGTTAAGGAGGTACTGAAATAATTGGGAATGGACTGAAAAAGTACTGTATAAGTACTGATTCTAGGAAACCTATGGTAAAGAATCTATTGTTAAGGTGTTCGCTGCGAACACCCTGTTCATCGACCCTTTTCCATAGGTTTAAATGGCATAACAATCGATTTATCGCAAATCACGCCACGCCACTGTAGTTTTTTATAAAATTTCTTCAAGAAAACTAGCTGGCATTTTCTCTTAAAAATGTCAACCGAAGGCTAGGGTTTTCTTGTGTTTCACTTTTAGTATCAACCAATTTTTTGTGTTGAAATTTCTCTCTGTGTGCTTCCAACATCATAACATTAAAAATCTTGAAGTAACCTGAGAATGACCGTTGGATACACACGTTTTCAAGGAGTCTACACGTCAAAAAAGTTTAAAAGAGCGTGTTATGATCCCAGATTCTCCTCTATTTGAACAACGAAAGGGCTTGCTAAATGTCTGTTTTGAGAATTCAATAATTCTGAACACACGAGTTCTCTCCTGAGTGAAAGGAAGGGGAGGAGAGGGGGGCAGAAGCACGAAAGTTGCGTAAAATCGTGTTAGATAAATGATATTTTCAAACTTCCGACAGAATCTCAATTTAATTGAGTGCCACCCCTTTCGCGTTCCCGCCCCCGCTTTTGAAACAAACATTTCGTCGCTCCTCTGGCGAGAGAGCGTATCTCGATTTCCACATGAGCCCTCGAGAACATGGAGTGATTAGCGATATATCGATTGTCATGCCATTTAAACCTATGGAAAAGGATTGATAAACATGGTGGTCGCAGCGAACACCTTAATAATCGATTCTTTACCATAGGTTTAAATGGCATAACAATCGATACATCGCAATTCACGCCACTGATGGAGCTCTTTGTAAAACAGGGCTCACGCGTGGAAATTGAGATACGTGCTTACGTCAGAGGGGCGACGATTTCGCGTTACGTTTCGTCTCGCGTTTCCGAGGGAGATTCGGACTCAGCATCGTTACATTGAGATCCTTGCGGTGAAATATGTTTCTTGTGAGACTGAAGTCTAAGTTAAAAGTGTGATTCCTGTATCGAAGAACATTATGTTGTTGTTTAGACTTGTGTTATTTTTGGCTTGGTCGAAGAATCAGCTATTAGCTATAAATATGTTTTTTGTACGACTGAAGTCGAAGTTAAAAGTGTGGTTCCTGTATCGAAGAACATTATGTTATTGTTTAGACTTGTGTTATTGTCGGCTTGGTCGAAGAATCAGCTATTAAAAACGCGTTTCGGAGGTTGCATACTTCATGTTTTGAAAAACGTGCGAGAACAGCGAAAAATTCCGGACCTTTTTGCGGAATGGTTGACCATTAAATAAGTACGAATTTATACCTGATACCTAATAGAAAAAAACACGGGGTTCATTTTACATAGACAGACAGATCTTGATATTTTTAGCTGATCGCAACTGCGCAAAGCGCAACTGACCTATATTAATTACGGCTCTTGTTTTCTATTTGAGTCCCTTATGTTTGGACTAGAAGTGAAGCTTAGATGGTTGCCTACCTTACAAAGAGCTCTCTGAGAGTGGCCGTACCTTTTCCGTGCTTCCGTACTGACCTTCCGAAATCTGTGTCATTTTGGTGTATCCGTACTTTTTCCGTACAGTAAACACCGTGTATTTTCAGACTTCTCGGACCAGTAGACACCGTGCCCTTTTCTGCCGTGATAGTGAAGAGAGCAGTAAGTGTCACATTTTCGAAATCGAGTTTCCTTCAAAATTCATCTAAATTATTTTAGATGAAATCACTGAAATTGCTAAAACAGCGAAATTCATCTTAATTATATCACAAAGAGACATAAGAAAAAGCCATAAGTGCGCAAAAAATGACGTCGTTTTAGGCAAGACATCCGTAAGTGACAATGTTCCTCCAGAGAGTCAATAAAAACAGTGCTTTCAAGTAAAAAGCTGCCCTCTTCTGACAATTTCTAACTTGAAAATGCGTTTGTTGTGTGTCCAAAACGCAACCATGAAAGCATGCAGAGGATAGCACTAACGACTGTCTTGCCTAACAAACCTAGCATGAAAATAAAAAATGCCTTTTTTATGTAATTGAAATAAAATCAGTCTATTTTTAATGATACAAACCGATTTCTAGGAGTCTTTCGGACATCTAGTGGCAATTTGACAAAGAAAGGAGGCTTCCTTCAATAAAATTTTCCGGTCAGAAGCTTCTGAGTCTGCTTTTTCAAAACTTATTTTTTGCACTTACTGCTCTCTTCGCTATCACAGCAGTTTTGACCACTTATATTTCGACTAGGAATGATGCTTAGGTGGTTGCCTACCTTACAAGGAGCTCTCTGAGAGTGGCTTCGTCATCCTCCGGCGCCTTCGTCGCATTACTCGTCAGCTGGACCTCTCCATTCAGCTGGGCCGGTCTCCGGATGTCAGACACTCTCATAGACCCGCGCGGCCCTCCTGCCATCCCTGCAACGGCTGAGCAGCAGCCACCTGCAACAGCACCAACGCCCCCGCAACGTCACCACCACGTCCCGCCACCACTCACGCATGCACATCCCACAACATCGAAAAACAAACCAACCATCAATCCAAATTCATCATGCTCGGCTAGAACAACTACAGCTAACAATAAATTAAAAACACAAAAGGCGAATTCCCGCGAGGGGGATTAGGTCAACTTTCTCGACCAGCGGGCTGATTGTTGAAATTAATAAAGAAGACAAAGAGGAGATTGACAAAGAGGATAAATAAATGGATTGCATTTTGCAAAAAGGAACCACTAGCATTGCAATGATGCTAAGATTTTGCAACTTCATCTTCTGCAATAAAATTGCGGAAATCGTGAAAAACTATGAAATTTAGATGGTAATTTTTGTCTTAAATTTACAGTTATTAGCGAGTAAAATAGAAACTATTAATGGATAATCGGGTTTTTCCTCCAAGACAAAAGAAGTTGCACAATCTTAGCAACATTGCAATGCTAGTGGTCCCTTTTTGCAAAATGCAATCCAAATATGAAGGGACCACTGAAGAAAATGTATGGTAGCATTGACTATGAGTCTACTTGATTTTTTACACAGTGATACTATTTAGTGAAAATACCCAGAATTATAGTAGTGTTCACCAGAACTCTGGTGATTTTTAACACAATATGGTAAACGCTATCATAAATTCTGGTGTTTATTACCATACTTGTATCAATGTGTGAGAGTATGGTAAAATCTACTACATTTTTTTTCAGTGACCTTAAAAGTTTGTCGAAATCAATTTGTTTTCACATTTTGGGCTGCTTTTCAGAAGCAAATCATTGTAATCCTTCGTAAGGATCCATTTCTGGAGTCTCACTACTAAATTTTTTACGGGGGATTGCAAACATTTTCGTCGTTGAGATTGGAAGTAAATAAAAAACTTGACTAAATCCACTCGCGGAAATTCGCGGAGTGTCTCCATTATCCGCGGTCAAGCAGACCAGTTGATCGAAAACTGCGAATCTGTATACAATTAAGAGTAGCTAGAGGGGTGCCTGCCTGCTGCGCGGCTTAACTCGCGGGGTTCGCCTTACGCCTTCAGAGGTCAGCTTTGCAGCAATACACTGACCGAAGGTTATTTTTTGAATCCAGTTGAGACAAAAGACATCGTTTGCCAAGAAATTTACATGATCAACGAGCGATTTTCCTACGTTTCTATCGTTTAACCCGGTCAGGGTACGGAAAGGAAAACCATCTTCGCTATAGCCCGCGAGTACACAAGAATCGCGGATGGGCGGACCGCGGATATTAGAGACTCTACTAGGCTGCCGTGCATAGGAAAAAAGCCGTATGAACTTTCAGGCATTGCCAAATTTCTTCAGATGAAACACAAATTTTCGAGAAAACTCATGATTATTTTTCTTCCAATTTTTTTCGAATAATTCTGTTCACAATTTCACTTGAAATTCCGGAAAATTTCAAGGAAAATATTCATTGATCTCCTTCAAAATAAAAATTTTATCAAAGGAAATTTGGCAACTCTTCAATGTTCATACGGCGTTTTACCTTAGCATGGCAGTGTGCGTGTGTGTACAGCCGTACACCTGTTGTAGCTTAGAGCCAAAGGATCACGTTTGAGCTAACGTTTTGAGAACATTAAACCAGTTTGTATGGAATTGAGTAAGATGCTGATCACAATTTCCGTCCCTGATTTTTCAAAATCACAAAAGTGGTAAAAGTCGTTTGGGTCTAAGCTATACAGTTTGAATCCATGAAAAGGACCAAATCTCCCGAATTGTATCCTTCAAAACGGAAGAAAGATAATTTATACAACTGAAAAAAGAGGCGAAACACACAAAATAGACTATATAGCATGTAACACGACGAAGATATAATTACTGAGGGTTCAAAGACTGGAAAGGTCTAGTAGTTTTAATAGAAGAGAGATTTAAAATTAGAGGAATCTCTCTTAAATGCTGACACACTCTTGAAAAATAGCTCTGCAGCTCTGCCGTGCTAAGAAAAAATGTCGTATGAGCCTTCAGGCGTTGCAAAATTTCCTCTAGAAAATCACGAATTTCCGGGAATTATAAATATTTTTCTTCCAATTTTTCAGGTGATTTTGTTCACAATTTCACCTAAAGTTCCTGAAAATTGTAAGGGAAATATCCATAGCTTTCCTCAAAAATAATCATTTTATCGAACGAAATTTGGCAACTCTCGAATGTTTATACGGCGTTTTTCCTTAGCACGGCAGAGCTGCATCGTTCAAGCATAGCGAGTGCTTTGTTTTTCAGGACGCCAAAGAGCGCGTCTTCCGTCAAAAACTCAATTTCAACCCTATTCAACTTTATTACCTCTCTTGAAAACGTTTTACTCGAAGGAGCTGGTCCTTTTCAAAGATATTTCAAAGCGATAAAAAGCGACATGGGAAGCAAAAAAAGAAACGGGCCACCAACGGCAATATTCTGAATGAACTGTAGGAAAACTTTTGCGGACAAAATTTTCATTCGAAAAACCGCTTCGGATGGAGAGAGTTTGAAGATTTTTTTTTATTCACTTGCATGTCAAGATTATTGTGAGTTTAAAGTGAGACATTTAAACTTGGATTCAGAGTTCAGACTCCTAAAAAATTTGAAAAGGAAACATACTCTCGATTCAATCAAAAGTGTGCTTGGATCAAAAAGAAATTCGCTTAAAGTGAGAGGCTTGGCTCTCGATTCTTCTGAGAAGAGAATCGATCTTCTGTGGTCGATCTTCTTTTGAAAATAAAATTAGAGTAGAAGTTTTAAAACGCAAATGACCCATTTGTACTTGTGCCATCTAAACGTCAATGAAATTTACTACAATTAGAGAGTTAATCTGGAAGTAGTCTAAAATTTAAACATGAATTGAAAATAAAATGAAAAATAGCATTAATAAATACACTTGATGACAAACTGTAAGCTAGATACTTTGTTGAGATCAAGGAAAGAAAATGGATTTCTTATTTTTTTACCTTTTATGAATTTTAAATTAAATTTAAATTCCATCCTTTCAGACTCGATGATACGATATGCTATTATTCTTGATCGCTTTCAAACAGAACAGGCAAAAAATGTTACGTTTTTAGTCGACCTTTACCAATTATTCATGCATTGTTCATATCACTGCATTTTAAATTTAATGAACATTTTCAGAATAAAAAATACTTTTACTTCCCTCGACCTCTGATTGCTTTACGTAAAAAATAACAATTAACTGAACAGCTGAGAAAAAAGCAAAAATTATAAATTAACGAAAGACAGGCTGAAAAATAATGAAAAGAACTTCTAATAATGTACGCTTGTGTTCAGTTTGAGACCACAAAAGTCCACGCGCCAAATCTGCCGTGCTAAGGAAGAACGCCGTATGAAGCTTCAGGCGTTGCCAAATTTCCTTTGATAAAACACGACTTTCCCGGTAAACTTATGAATATTTTTCTTCCAATTTTTCAGATAATTTTGTTCGCAATTTCACCCAAGAAGCCTGAAAATTTCACGGAGAAATATTCATAAATTTCCTAAAAAATAAGCATGTTAGTAAAGGGAATTTGGCAACTCTCGAATGTTCATACGGCGTTTATCCTTAGCACAACAGAGGTCTTCCCTATACTTTAGGATTCCCGCTCAGCTTGGCAACGCTGTTTATTTTTTTGAACTTAATTTCTTCACAAATGCTTGACCAACAGTGGAGATGAACAAACAGAATTGAAGTCGGATGAATTTTACGGATGAATATGCCACCTTTGGTTAGGTGACTGGCTACTTGTATGGGTTATAGGACATTTCGTCAACGATCTTTTGTCCGTGCACCTGTTTTTTCCAGTAATTTACGTCCACGCGTTTTTTCGGCACGAAAGTTTTAGTCCACGTGCCAGTTGAGGCCCAAAGTTAACTGGCCCACATGTAAATACAAACGACCATTGCTCACGACGTTTTTGGATGAAAATGTATTATGTCTGGGAAGAATGAGGGTTTGCTTGTTTTTTGTTTTGTCTGTTTGCTCCAACGGAGAATAATACACAGTTGAGAGTTTTGGTAAAAATGGGAGAGCGTCAATTCCATGGGAAAAAAATCACTAAAACTCTCTACACCTCTTTGGTGTAACACTGTAACAGGACTTAATTATCTTTCAACAAATTCCCACCTTGTTATACCTGAACCGAATAAACCTCTCTATTTGCCTCAGCTAAAGGCTCTTAGATTTTTCCTGTGTACGATAAGTATCTTGATTCATTTTGCGAGAAAAGAACTGAACTTTTAAAGGATGCCTGTCATTCTTAATACGTTCAATTTCATATAATACTGTGCAACACCTCTGTTGTGAAATTGTTGCTTCAGGCGCCGCCGCACGGCGGGCGGGCGGCCAGCGCGAAACTCGCCTACAAACCTAAGTGGATACTTCAAGCATTGTGCAATGCGTGAAGTATCCACTTAGGTTTGTAGGCGCTAGTGAGCCTCTCGCGCTGGCAGCACGCCGCTCCGCTCTGTTAGGCTTAAATATTTATACTCGCATAGTCAGCGTTTTGTAACTCATGATTTCGAAACGTTTGCACACTCTGCATTGATTATTCTCATTTAAATTGATGGGAAAAAATACGTATCAATTTATCAAAGGAGAATAATAATATAATGTGAGTTTTTTACATTTTGTGCTTTTATTGTGATGCAGCGAGGTGTACGCGCAACCAAACGCTCAAAATTTGACGTATTTGACTCTAAAATATGGATGTACAAATGGGTTAAAACTAAAGATTGCGTGCTTCTTGGTTTTTTTCCCCTCTTTTATTCATTTTTGCAGTTTCTGTCGGCACAACTGAGGCTCATTGAGATTGTTGTCGTTTGGAAAAGGTTTTACAAATATTTTCCACGTTTTAAAAATATAAATGTCTTCAAAATGAAGTAATAATTTCGTAAAGAAAAAATTTATAAAATAAAAAAAAAGTACGTAACTCTCCATGCTGAGATAGAGAGCAAATACAATAGCAGGGATGCCGTGTTT